TTTCCCTGAGCTCCTGCAGGTGCCAGTCTGAGGGGTGATGGTTTTTTGAGGTCCTGTCATGCTGGGGTTAGAGGTAAGATAGGGCAGGTGGCCTGGGATTTTGGGGAGGGGCAGCAATGGCTCAAGCTGCCTGCCTGAGGTCCAGGGTGGATGGCATGCATTCCAAACTGCAGGTTCAAGGTGGAGCATCCTCTTGCATCCTCTCCCTGCCCCAGATCAGAGGGAGAAATCACAGCTTTTCCCAAGGTTAGGAGTGGAAGATGTCCTCTCTCTTCCCATCCAGAGCCCTGGGGTCATCCCACTGATCCAGAGGTGTTTTGAGCAGCATCCCTTGGACTTGCTCTGCTTGGAGTAGGATAGCAGTGGTGCATGGGCTGGACATGATCCATTTGGAGTGCAAATCAGTGGATCCCAGCCCCTTTTTATGCCGCAGTTTGGATGCAGGACATCCAGAATACTCCGGTGCCATTCCCTGTCAAGTGCAGGGTGTGCAGCCTTGCATCAGGGATAACACATTGGGAGGTAACAGGAGCAAGCTGAGGTGGGGACTGACCTCCTGTGCAATATTCAGGGCTCTTGGAACAAATCTGTGTGAGCTTGGATGTGCCCTAACCTTGCTGGTGGCACCTGAGGTGTCAGTGCTGGCTGCAGGGAGGGAGATCTCCCTGGGGAAAGGAAAAGGGGGGGATCTCATCTGCAGGAGACTGGGAATAGGAAAAACCTCGTTGGGGTGCCACAAAGAAATATCAGCATTGTCTCTATTTCCAACCTTTCTTGCAAAAAAAGAGCTGAGATTTTTGTCTACACAGGAACCTGGTGCAGAATCTGTCCCCAGCTGGTTCCCTGCAGAAACAGCCACACGTGGGGCTCTGGCCCCATTTTATTTCTGTGACAAATGTCAGAGTGTGACACAAGCCCTGCCAAGGTGTGGTGTCCTCCTGGACCCCCAGGCATCCCTGCCCAGGGGTTTACAACAGGAGAAACTCATGAGCTCATTCCCACTTCCTTCAATGGCATTCATTCCAAAAGAGGTTAAAATTCTTCAGGGAAGGTGGGAATTTACCACTCTGCAGTGGGGGCAGATTTTGGCCGTGGGAGAAGGAGCTCTCTTGCTTATGAATAGGGATTATTCCTGTGCCCCTGAGTTGCTTAGGTCTAATTTTGGGGACTCCAATGGTGCTACTCTGGATTTACACCATCATAACAGAGAACAAAATCTGGCCCTAAATATAGGACAGCACGGCAGGAATTGGGGAAGGGCATTTTTTCTCACTGATGCAAAACCTACTTGTGGTCACAAGGGAAACAGGATGTCCAAGGTGGTTGTGGGACCCCTCCTGGGCCCCATCCTGGTGTCCCCATCCCCATTTCCCTTTTCTTGTTCTTTTTTTTTTCCAGTCTGCACACAACTTTTAGTTTCCCGACCCGATGAAGAGAATATAAGTTCCTATTTACAGCTCATAGACAAATGTCTAATCCACGAGGTGAGTCGTGTCACATCTTCTAAAACTGTTGTTCTCATCACTTGGAAACTGTTTCCAAAGTGTCTGTTTATGTAAACCTTTGGGTTTCTAACACAAATATTTTTGGGGGGTATTAATAGTAATTGTGACAGAGCAGCCTTGGAGCAGGCGGTAGCTCCAACGTGGTGCATGGAAATGTTGCTTCCCCCCACGCGGCTTTAATTGCCAAGGCCTGGAGCTGGGAAATTCATCTGGCTCGTGACAGTCCCATCAGCAGCTGGATGAAAGCAAGAATCAGTCCCATCAGCAGCTGGATGAAAGCAGGAGCTGGGATGAACGTGCAGGCAGTTCCCGTCAGACAGACCCGGCGTTGCCCCCTCCCGTTTGGCACCACGTGCTCTTGGGATTTTGCAACAGGGATTTTCCATCTGTTCCTGCTCCCAGAGGATCTGCCTTGGCTGGGTGATGGCTTGGGATGGCCCAGGCTGTGCCACAGGGCTCTGGCACGCTCCTGCCTGGTGGCAGGGGGGGATGGTCAGTGTCCCTGGTGTCCTGCAGTGTCTCCTACCTGGAAGAAGCTGCTTCCATCACCTGCCTGTATGGGAGCAGAAGTGGTGGAAGCTGAGGACCAGAGAGCAAAGCCATGAGGATGTGGAACTTTTCCCAAAGTGCCACTGCTGGGAGAAGTGGCTCTGCACTTTTCCCAGCAGAGCCACCCACGTCCCAGGACCACCCTCTGTGCTGGCTCCGGCGTAATCAGCGCCAGGAGAGAGCATCTCCTCCTGAGTGGCTCCGAGCAATCAAGTCAGGCACTAATTAGCCTCCAGATTGTCCTCTGGAGACTTCTGCTGCTCTCCAGCAGAGACCTAGGGTGTCTAAAGTTAGCAGTGGTGGCACGTGGGTGTCCCTGTCACCCACACCTCCTGCCTGGAGCTCTGGGAGCAGCTCTGTCACTGCCAGCTCTGTCACTGACGGGGTGACCTTTGCAGGGCGCCTGGGTGGGTGACAGACTCACCCTGGGTGACCTCCCCAGAGCCAGGATCACAGCCAAGCTCTGCCCAGCCCTGAGAAGGAGGATAATATGCAGGATGCCACAGGGCAGCTCAGCTTTCCAAACCCCAGCTTTGCTCACCCTGGCAGCATTTCTAGAGCCACATCCAGGTGACAAGTGTCACCACCCGTCAGGACCCACATCAAAGCCTCGCTCTGCCAAAAGAAGTTGGCAGCCTTGAGGCAGAGCTGGGCTGTCACTCTGGGACACAGGGAATGCTGCCAGAGCATTTTCTCCACCTGAGATGAGTAAATCCTGAGGAAAGACCAGTGTTTCCCCCTGGACTTTCTGATGGGGCTCAACTCACCCCATCACCTTCTCCAGCTGCTTTTCTTTACCCACACTCCCACATGCACATCCCTGCTGGCTTTGTCCACAAGAATATTCATCCATTAACTCTTTTTCTCTCTGTTTTTTTTTTTTTTTGGACAGGCGTTTACAGAGATCCAGAAGAAGAGGCTGCTGTCATGGAAACAGCAGGTGCAGAAACTCTTTCGGTCTTTCCCTCGGAAATCCCTCCTGGAGCTGTCGGGCTATCGGCAGCAGAGGAGGTACGTGGGAACACGAGCCAGAAATGTGAACATGAGCCAGCAGTGTGCCTTGGTGGCCAAGAAAGCCAATGGAACCTGGCCTGGATTGGGAATGGTGTGGCCAGCAGGACAGGGAGGTCATTCTGCCCCTGAGTGCTGTGTCCAGTTCTGGCCCCTCAGCTTGGGAAGGATGTTGAGCACATCCAGAGGAGGCAATGAGGCTGGAGAGGGGCTGGGAACACAAACCCTGTGAGGAATGTTTGAAGGAGCTGGGGCTGTTTATCCTGGAGAAGAGGAGGCTCAGGGGTGCCCTCATTGCTCTCCTCACCTTCCTGCAGGGAGGCTGCAGACAGGTGGGGTCAGTCTCTGACAGAACCAGAAGACACAGTCTCAAACTACATCAGGGAAGGTAGAGGTTGGATATTAGGAAGAAATATATATTATATAAGTATATATTAATATAATTCTACGATAATATACTATAATGTAATATATTAATATTGATCTATTAATATACTGTACTATAATAATATACTAGGATATACTATACTATTATATAATATACTGTAATATACTATACTATAATATACTATAATATAATATACTGTAATATAGTGTAATATAATATAATATAATATAATAATATAATATAATATAATATAATATAATATAATATAATATAATTAATATAATACCCTCCAGGAGGATTATATGAAGCTCCACAGCAGCTCTCCCCTCCTCAGTTGCACCTCCCTGAGCTTTTTCAGCTCCTGTTTAGCAACATTTACAACCAACCCGCGCGTTGTCGGGATTTTTCATTTCAGTTCCTGTTTAATTTATATTTCCCTTTTAATTTTGATCGTTCACAAACTCAGTAAGGAGGGGATTTAAGCTTTGACATAACTCCTGAAGCCCCAAACTGTTCATGTTTTAGGAAAAAAAATTTTACCAAAAGAATAATAAAGTACTGGAATGCTCTGCAGAGCCAGAGGTGCAGTCAGAGAGCCAGGCAGGGCTGTGTTGGGAACACCATGTTTGCTCACTTCCAAGGTGATGCTGCATTTCAGGTGATCCTAGAAAGCATAGTGCCAAAAAAAAAGATTTTTAAATCACCTTTAACAACATCACCACTTTGTTTCATTTTTCAGGTTTTTGTTCCCAAAAAGACAAGTGTTGTGGAGATAACTGGGAGTATAGGAACTTCCAGGATGAGATTTCAGCTCCTTTAGCTCAGCCCTTCTTAATAAAACTTAGATTTATTAGGTCATTCTAACCAAATTTTACAGAACTTGAGAAGTCTCAGAGGTGACCATATTTGTAAAAACAAACCTCCTAGAAGGGGAGAAAGAAAATGCAACAGCAAAAGCTGAACTTAAATTAGACACTGGAGAATCCACTCATGAGAATTCTCCAAGAAATCAAGTTCCTGGGGCATTACCTGGATTATTTTAGATTGTATTTAAGAACAGACCCATTTTGCAGGAGCAAAATAAGCTTTAAAGGAAACCAGTGTGGATCTGAGAACTGCAGAAGGGAAGAAGAGAGGATGCTGCACACCCAGACTGCTCCTTCCCACTGCCTGTGCAGGGTGCAGGGACCACCTTGGTGGGGTGGGAGGGTCAGGACCCCCTTGGAGGGGTCAGTGTCTCACCCTCAGAGGGGTGGGAGGGTCAGGATTCCCTCTAAGGGCTCAGTGTCTCACCACTGGTGGGATGGGAGAGTCAGAACCTCCTTGGAGGGCTCAGTGTCTCACCTTCAGAGGG